GAGAAAAGGGTATAAAAAGGCTTCTGCTCAAGTTGTTAATGCTGTAATTCAGTGTAGAAAGATTTTACAAAACATTTCTGCCATTGATATCCATAGAAGCTATGAAATATTCCATTTAAGCAATTACAACGGTCTCACAATCTAGTCTATGGTGAAAGCTGATAATAAATCACTAGAGATTCTGTATGGTCGGCAAAGGGAGGAGGCTCATGAGGGCTTGTGGGGCAGATGGGGGGGCACTGTGAGTTACTGCACAGGGTGACACCAGCCTGGGTGTCACCACTGTGGCAATCTGCCCCCAAGGGTCACAGCTCTGAAGACCTATGAAGTGAAGTCCTGCCGGGGACTCACACACATGCACACAAAGACACATACATACACACACATCATGGAGTCACACATGGGGAAGGAGCTCTGGGCAGGTGACACACGGGGGTGGGGGCATGAGCTTAGGAGGGGAGGGAAATGGGGCAGGTGCCCCCCCTCACATAAAAGTCCCACTCAGACCCCCCCACCCATTGGTTCCAGGTGGGAGAGAAGCGATGGCACCCATGGCTGCTGACTCCGCATGGTTTTATTCATCTCAGGTTTATCAGTAGTCTCTGCCTCCCATCTCTGCGCAGGGACCGTAAGAATCCATCCAGATGTCTGTGTGTGTTCAAAGTGCGCAAGGAAACAAAAGCCCCTCCACTACTCGGGGAAGGGGTCCTAAGTGATGGTTTCTGAACCGAGTTTGTACACCTTCCTCTTTGACAACAATCTTCTGACCACAGAGATGCTGCACATCATTCTGAGGTGAATTCCAAGATGTAAAGGAGACTACTGGTCGCAGGATGGCCGGGCACCCGCCGTGCAGCCGACGAGGCGGCAGGGCAGTGCGCCACAGCTTGCTCCTACGAGGCGTGCACCCTGCACGTCCCAGGTCAGGGCTGCAGCCCAAGCCCCATCTCAATGAGCTTGTGGTGGGAGCAGCTTCTATCTATGTACACAGGGGCCAGGCCTGGCGCAGGGACAGAGAAAAGGCATCACAGGAGAGCATGTGCCAGCTAGTCACACTGGCAAAGATGGTGGGGCTGCATTTAAAGTAACGTCTTGATGAAATGGTCTCCGAGAACATGACTTTCCTTGGCCTGGGCTTTGCCTTCCTTTACGGGAGAATGAGGCTTCCATATTATTCTCTAAGGAATCACCTAAGAGTACAAGGCATTGCACAGGTTCGGGCTCCACTTCCTCTCCATCCGTCAGGGCAGTGATGGCTCAGTGGCAGGATTCTCGCCTGTGCAGGAGACCCTGGTTCGATTCCTGCTCAATACACTCATCTGCCAGCAAAGGCTTGTGGGTTGCCCATATGCTGGATAAGATTCAGTGGAGCTTCCAGGGTTGAGAGACTAGGATGAAAGGCCTGGTGACCAATCTTGGAAAATCAGCCGAGGAAATGCACAATCCGTAACCGGTTGTGGGGACAGCATTTCGCTGGGCATGGGGGTTAACAACAATAACATCTGTTTATAGGCAAGGATTGATCGGTCACATATGAGGGCAATCTGGAGCTTTCTGTGTGTGGAGACTGAGGCTTTAGAAGTAGGTACTGATGGAGCTGAGGTGGGGAAGACATGGATATAACTATGGCCCCCCGAGGAGAAGGGGCTCATTCATTCGTGCTAGCTCTGGCCTGGACTTGCCTGCTCATCTCTCCTCCACCAGTCTGCTGGTGGAGCAGCTCAGCTAGGAAGCCACCGCCCTGTCCTGTTCCTTATGCTGATTCCCAAAGAGCATGCCTGGCCCTGGGCTTTGTGAGGAGGAGGAGGAGGAGAAGGATCAGAGCACAGAGGCAGTGTTGTGCTGCCTATGGGGCCGAGGCACCTTGAGGGGCACACACCTGCCCTATTTTCCTCCCACAGATTTCATGACAGCTTCTCCCGACCGCCTGAGCTGAGGTCTCCTCCTGTTGGTCACACTGCCCAGACCGCTGAAGGCATCTCATTTGCCTACCTGTGCTGCATGCTCAGGTCACTGGGTGGTGTAAATGGTTTGCCAGATGGCTACCCTGACAGAGGCCCCATGGTACCATGATCAACGCTCAGCTGCTCATCAAAAGGTTGGTGGTTCAAACCCACCAGGCAGCCTGTGGGAGAACGATGCGGCCATCTGCTTCCATAAGATGTACAGACACCCTCTGGGGCAGCTCTGCTGGGTCCTATAGGGTGGCTGTGAGTTAAAATCGATGTGACAGTGACTGGGTGTGTTTTGACTTTGAGCCCAAAGGCCAGATGTTCCGTGGCACCACAGAAGAAAAGCCTGGTGATCTCTCAGCCAAGGACACTCGGCGGAGCACGGTTCTGCTCTGCCACACCCGGGCCCCCTTGAGCGGGAACTGACAGCAACAGTGCCCGTCCCTTGTCCGGGAGTCAGATCTGGATTGAACTGGTATCTCCCAAATGCCCACCACGTCCTCGGGAAGAGATGCCTGGTCCTTCCGGTCTGGCTTGCTCAGGCTTCAAATGCACCTGGCACCCAAATACAGCTCCTGCATCCCAGGTGGTCTGCGTGGCGGGATTTGAGGGCCCTGGGTGGGAAGTGTTTCCTTGGTAAGCTCCATGAGGGCGGGGCCAGTATCTGCAGGGTTTAACACGTGCCTGGAGGTATGAACGCTGACCAGCTAGATTTTGACTTTCTTGTGGCCAGAGCCACTTCTTTGGGTTAAGGCATTAAAGACACCCATGAAATATGTTACCAAGGGGGTCCTACATCTTAAGACATGAGCAGCCGTTAACACCCCTTTGTGACTTCAGAGTGGCCTCAGATCAGCTCTTAACCCCTGAGGGCCAAGGCCCAGGACAGCTGGGGTCTGGGGGGAGGGTGGGAAGGACGCAGCCTGCGGGGTGTGTGTGTGTGTGTGTGTGTGTGTGTGTGTGTG